TGAAATGACTGAATATATGTAAGCACTTGCAGTGGCTGTGGTTGCCGATAATAAAAAATTGAGTATTTTGGTTTTTCCCACAGAGGAGTTTAAAAGAAAATAATATTGGAGTTTTAGCCATGAGTGAAAACTAAAAAAAACAGAGCGAGGAGTTGCACTGTGTGTGCTTGAAAGAAAAAAAAAGGAAGATGAGGATACACTGTGTGGTGTGTGAAAAAAAAAAACATTGTGTGTGCGTGCAGTGTATGCATTAAGGAAGAAAAAAACTAGGAGAGAGAAAAATGTTGAATATATATATCTGTATGTATATTTATACATATATGCAGAAAAGAAAAAAATATTAGGAGGAGGATGATGCATTGTGTGTGCCAGAAGGAAAAAAACGAGTACATTGTGTGTGCGTGAAAGAGAAGAAAAAAGAGGGGGCAAGAAAGGAGATTGAAAAAATATATATACATATATATATATATGCGTAACCAACTCTCTCTGTAGATGAAAGCAAACCCCCTCTATTTTATTATTATTTTCTTCTTTTCTCTCTCATCATAATATGATGATTTCATCAATTTTGTTTTTTTCTCTTTAGAAAGAAAAAGAAACAAAATCAAATGTTGAAATTGAAAGTTGAATTCAAGACCTCCCACTTACTAAATGAAATGAATACTTTAACCAACTGAACTATGAAATATACAAAAATGTTTATTTCTTTGGCATATTTATAGATTAACATTATGTGTATTTTAATAGTATTCCATGTATGCATACTATTTTATTTATTTGGATGACATATTAGTATTTTGTTATGCTGTTTTATTATCATTGTACTAATATATATTAATTAGTTTACGTACATTAATTAGTTATAAATCTTTTGTTAAGTTGGGATAACTATATATATCTACGTGATATTTTTAATACTAATTAGTTTTCAAAAATTAAAGGGTTACATGAATATGTTCTACTTAATTTTTATTTTATTATGATAATTAAATTATCATATTTCTAATTTGTATCATATGTGACGATTATGAGTGTAGTAAAGTTTTCGAATATACGATATAAATAATAAAAATTTGATAATTTAATTATAAAAAAATCGTGGCTAATGTCTATTTTTTTATATACTAGTAAAAATAGCAACCAAGAACATGATTACTGATTTGTCTACCAACGGAAATTGGATGGAACAAAATATGATATATGGTATAGGAAGATTCAGTATCTTTTCAATGAGCACGAGGTTTTGGAAACCTTGACCAATATTGTACTTGAGCTAAAAAATATCGGTAGTGATCAGTACAATGATGATATGGCTACATATCAGGAATGTTCCAAGATGGATTGTTATGCACTATACTATGTTGTATTGCATGCATCAAAATCTCATTTGAGAGTTTGAGAGTTGTTCTACGGCTAAAGACATGTGGTACAAGCTTAAGGTCACTTATGGCCAGACGTCCGCTATAAGGCTCCGTACGTTGGATTTAAAGTGGATGAAATATGAAATGGATCCAAAGCATGGTATAGCTGAACAATTATGTGTCATGAGTGTTATGGTTCGTGACTTTAAGGCTGGAGGGCGTGACATAAGAGATCAGGAGTAGGTTCTGAATGTGATTCATTCACTTCCAAATGAACTTGAATATTGGAAAAGTTTTAAATTCCTGATAGTTCATAGTAAACATATTAATATTTTCTATGAAATTGCTAGGCACATTGAGATGGAAGTTGAGCGTCAAAACGTGTTTAATCCTTCCAATGTGGCACATGTTGCCCATGGGGTCAGACCCAAGGTAAACAAGCCTAATTGTACCAAGTAATTTAAGAAAGGTCGGCCACCGTTTCAAGCCAATGGACCTAAAGGTGGTGTGGCCAAACAACATAAGACTAAGGGCCATAAAGAGAAAAATGTAGCGCATATGAAGTGCTACAATTACGGCAACAAAGGTCACCTTATTCGTGATTGTTTTGAGCCAAAGATACCTTTCTCTATTTTGCCTCTTAATTTATTTGTTTGTCTCCATGCATTAGTTGCTAATTTTTTTCCTAATTGGATTGTAGACACGGGAGCAAGCAAACATGTAGTTCAAGATCAAGTTAGATTTGTGGACTACCATCGTGTCCTAGTGGGTTCGAAAGCTATTGTATTGGGCAACAACAACGAAGAGGATGTCCTTGAAATCGAAACATACCAGCTCAAGCTACGTGGAGGAAGTACTTTACTCCTTCATGATACTCTCTATGCACTTGGGGTGCGATGTTGTTTATTTTCAGTTGTTTCCTTATTGAAATTGAAATTTTCTTTTAATTTTAAGCTTGGTACTTTAGATATTTTATATCATGGCGATGTATTTGGTCATGGGTCTTTAAGAAACAATTTCTTTGTTCTTGACTTAGATGATAATATATATAATAATTACATACTTGTTTATGTTTCTTACTTTGATTGTGATTCTGAATATGTTAAATGGAATGCTAGACTTGGTCATATTGGCCAAGACCAAATGACTAAACTGGTTAAAGGTCTTCTGGACAAACTTACTAAGGTTAAATTGCCTAAATGTGACGCATGCTTAGCCGGTAAAACAAATAAAAAGCCTTTTGGTAAGACTTCAAGGGCGTTAAAGAGTAAGGACTTCAATTCATTTTGATATTAACGGGCCTTTAAATATCGAAGCACGTCATGGTGCCATATACTTTCTCATTTTTATAGATGACTATTCATGACATAGATATGTGTATCTAATTTCTCTTCGCTATGAAGCGCTAGATATGTTCAAATGTTTTATAGCGAAAGTGGAAAATCAAATGGATCGAAGAGTAAAGACTCTTCAAATCGATCGTGGTCGTGAATACCTTTCTGATATGTTCAAAACATATTGTGAGAAAAATGGTATACGTAGGCAACTTACAATTTCCCATACTCTGTAATAAAATAGTGTTGCAGAGTGAAGAAATCGTACATTACTAGACATGGTTAGATCGATTATGGCACATGCCAATCTCTCTAATAATATTTGCGGAGATGCGTTGCTTACAATAACCTACATCCTTAACTGTGTACCAAGTAAAAGTGTACCCGTCACTCCATATGAGTTATGGAATGGCAAGAAGCCCATTTTGGATCATTTACATAATTGGGGGTCGGCAGGCTATGTGCATAACCCAATCCATAAGCACGAAAAACTAAGTCTAAGAGCAACTAAGATGGTGTTCATCAAATATCCTGAACATTCAAAAGGATATGTATTGTTTGGAGAACACCCGAATGGTGGCATGACAGAAATTGACTCCTGCAATGTTGATTTCCTTGAGGATGAGTTCCCAAGCATTGGTGAAATAAAAGAGAATCTCAAACTGTATGAGTTACAAGAGGACATGCAACTATCTATTGTTGAGGGGGAGGTATTGAAAACCTACCAAGTCACTAAAAATACACCAAATAAAAGAGATAGTGGGAGTGATCCTATTATTCTAGATGGTGAAAACTTGCCTACAAATGATAATCCACCAGAAAATGGGGTTAGTCCTCAATCTCTGAGCTTCGAACATGAAGTTAGTTTTCATCATCTAGTCAAGGAGGTGATGAAGGCCCTAGAATCCAAAGGAGTGAACGTGAAAAAATATCTCGACGATATTTTCAAATCGAATGAGAAATTTTCTTATGCACTCTTTTAGAAATTGAGGAACCCACCTCCTTTAAGGAGGCTGTGAATTCACCAAATAGTAAAGAGTGGATTGATGGCATGAGGGATGAGATGGACTCAATGACGAGAAATAAGGTTTGAGAACTAATTGATCTCCCGCATCGACGTAAATCAATTGGAAACAAGTAGGTTTTTAAGATAAAACGTGGATAGCGGATGGATCAATTGAAAAGGTTAAGACCCGACTAATGGTGAAAGGTTTTACCCAAATTGAGGCTATAGACTATAAAGAGACTTTTTCTCCTGTGGTGAGATTTACCTCTATTCACCTCCTTCTAGCCCTGGTTGCCCATTTGGACTTAGAGTTATTTCAAATGGATGTTAAAACTGCTTTCCTCAATGGTACACTTAAGGAAGAAATATATATGGATCAACCTATTGGGTTTGTCTCAAAAGGTCAAGAAAACAAAGTTTGTCATCTTAAAATATTCATATATAGTCTTAAGCAGTCTTCCAGACAATGGTATTTCAAATTCCATAAAGTCATTACTTCGTTTGGTTTGTCCATGGTAGATGAAGACCATTGTGTGTATGTTAAGAAAACAATGGGAGGGATTATGTTTCTCTGCTTATGCATTGATGACATACTATTAGTTGGAAACAACATGGAAATGATCAATGCCATTAAGTAGTGGTTGTCCTCTATTTTTGAGATGAAGGACATGGGTGAAGCCAAGTTTATCTTTGGCGTAGAAATAATGAGAGACGGTCATAAGAATCTTTTAGGACTGTGCCAAGAAGCATATATTAAGAAAGTCTTCGAATGATTTCGGATGTATTAATCCAAACCCGTTGACACTCCTGTTGAGAAGTATCTAACCTTTGGCCTTGACTAGTGCCTAAAGACAGATAAAGAAAATAAGAAAATGAACAACGTTCCTTATACTAGTGCAATAGACAGTTTGATGTATGTCAAGTTGTGTACACTGCCGAAGATTTATTTTGCAGTTGGTTTGGTAAGTCGTTATCAAAGCAACCCTAGACTTGCTCATTAGCAAGCAGTCACGAGAATCTTGCGCTACCTTCATGGAACAAGTGACCTAATCCTCTATTATCAAAGAGGGGACTTAAGGTTGAAAGGATATTCATATACAAACTGCGATGGCGACTGGGATGAGTCTAAGTCGACCTCAAGTTATGTTTTTTTTCCTTAGTGGAGGTGCCATATCTTAGTGTAGTAAAAAGCAAGATTGGATTGCTTTATCTAAAATGGAAGCAGAGTATGTTACTAATTGTCTTGCTATACAAGAGACAATTTGGTTGAGAAGCTTTCTACAAGACCTCAACATCACCCCTAAAATTGATGAACCTGTAGAAATGCATTGTGACAATACTGCTGCTATCCAATATGCTCGGGATCCGAAATTCCATAGGAAAACCAAGAATATTAAGAGCTGTTATCACTTCATTCAAGGCACCATCAAAAAATAAGAAATTACTATTAAGTATATATCAACTAGCAAAATGGTTGTTGATCCTTTGATTAAGACTATACCTATAGATGCTTTTCGGGGTCATGTGAAGAGTCTAGATTTGCGTAGGCTTTAATTTTCAAGTGGAATTTGATACGTAATGTACATATGTTTTTGTGTATTGATCATTTATGAAATAAAAATTTTTATTTTCTTATGAAATGTTCATGAACATAATCGTATAATTAGGCACGTAATAATGTCACCAGGCTTTATGATTGACCTTATCACATGAGTGATCTCCCTAACACTTGAGTAGCGGGTTGGATAGGACTAAATCATATTTGCGTTAACTATATGTAATATGGACTATCTTTATACTTGTGTTGCATTAATGACTAAATATTAAAATTTTATAGTCACCTTAGTATGTCTAAAATGAGACTCTAGAAAGTCGAGTATGAAATATACCCGATTTCAAGTCTTATAGCCGAATATTGAGTGTCAGGTCACACATTGAGTATTTTGATTAAGTGGCTCGAGTTAGATTCCTAAGTAGTATTTGGACTTATGATTCGCACGACATAGAAAAATAACATGGCCAATTTAGTGGGAGCTATGTTGTGACATACATATCATACTAATATGTGCTATATGATGACTGATATAGGGAGTGACAAAATAATTCCCTACTTTATCACTGTGTAAAACCTATTGACTCTTGTGTCCTCCTTGTATGATACCCTTCGACTTGGAGCTATCACATGAAGTCAAGATTTGATGTTGCTACTTTAATATATTTCCAAGGGTCACGACCTATATGGTCTAAATGAGCAGGTTAGGAAAGCAATCAAGTTGAGATGGATTGTTATGAGTGTCTAAGGAAGAATCTTTCTGACATCATCACATGAGCCTGAGCAGTTATATTTTTTATATAATCAAGTAATATAATTATACCATAGAGGGACATCGTATGCTAACAGTGATGTTCAAATGATCTGGTGTATTATAAATATGAAAGTCTTATATTAGTTAGATGGTGACTTAATATAACACTACTTGTTGCCTTTTGGTTGCACACCTCATATCCTGTATGAAGAGTGAGAGATATGTTGATGTGGTAATATATTGTGGCTTGTGTGGCCGAGTGGGAGATTTTTATATGTAAGAAACTTTTATACGGAAGTCATCTTTTTATTGAATTCAACACATCTTAAGGAAAGAAAGACAACAGAAAGTTAGAGCTATATACCATTCTGATATGATGCAGTCAGAGCGTGATTGAGAGACCCCTTGGTGATGACCTTATTTATCTGACTCACTTCTTCTCTTTATCTAACTATTATACACAAAAAATTGTAATTTTAGTTGATGGAAGACACCTTGAAAGAGAAATTTGTGCTCCTTTTATAGATGAGAGGAGAGGCCAAAACACATTCAAGGTAATTGAATGTGTTGATAACTCTTTTTATTATTGTAGATTAATACCCATAAAATATAATAATTCTATAATTTATTTTAAGGTTACCCACTCCATCAATGTACTTTTTTTTTATAACACTTATCTATTATTTTGGGTGTCTTTTAAGTTGGCTTCAATCGTTATAAGTGGATAAAAAAATAAAACACTAAGTTAATGGGTCATCCACTTAATTGTTGAAATTAACATTCTCTCACTTGACCCACAAAACCGATTATGAATACTATAACATATATACATTTTATACTAAAATATATTTATTAATAAAATAAATTTGATACGTGATTGCAATAAAATCAGCCAACAAGCCTAAAATTACTATACCGTAATACAAAAATAACTTATATTATAAATGTGACTTATAACGGTCACATGACTTTAATGTCACATTTTCTTCTATGTACCACACACCAATAACCTTTACTAATTCAATCCATAATGCCAAAATAGCCTCTATAATTTGTCTTCTCAAGACATTCCCTGTTAATTAAATGCTACATTGTGCACCCATGATTAAAAATAAAAAGTAACAGGAACATACTTTAATGCACAAAATGTTAATTATTCAACCACTAAAATATCCACTGTCATATTATAAATTACTCAAAAGACCTAACCTTACAACATGTTCTGCATACATCTTTAGAGGTAGCCCTTTAGTAAATGGATCAACAATCATAAGTGTGGTACTAATATTTTTAATCGACACTTGTTGTTTCTAGACTCTTTCTCTAACAATTAAATACTTTAAATCTAAGTGTTTGGATCCACTAGAATATTTACCATTCTTAGAGAAGAAAACAGCTGTAGTATTATCACAAAATATTCTTAATGGCTTGGCAATAGGGTCAACAACACCAAGTCCTGAAATGAAATTCTGCAACCACAAAGCATGACTTGAGGCTTCAAAACATACTATAAACTTAGCCTCTATTGTGGATGAGGCAGTAATAGACTGTTTTACACACTTCCACAAAATTATCCCATTTGCTAGGATAAAGACAAAATCTAAAGTAGACTTTAAGCTATCACAACAACCACCATAATCTGAGTCTGAGTATCCAATCACCTCTAATTGTTCTGATCTTTTATATATGAGCATATAATCTTTTATCCCTTGAAGATACCTCATAACCTTCTTTGCAGATTTTTAGTGTTCAATTCTTGGATCACTTTGATATCTTCTCAATATACCAATAGCATAGCTGATATTTGGTCTAGTACAGGTTTAAGCGCACATCAAACTTCCCACAACAGATGCATACGGAATGTTCATCATTCGTTCCCTTTCTAAGTCATTTTTTGATCACTAACTTTTACTTAATTTGTCACTCTTAAGAATACGTGCAACAATAGCTGAACATAATTGCATATTGAATCTCTCCAAAATTCGGTTAATATATCCTTTCTAAGACAAACCTAATAATCCTCGAGAACGATCTCTGAAGATTTTTATTCTAATAACATAAGTTGCCTCACCCATATCAACCATCTGAAAGTTTTTAGAGAGATATTTCTTAGTTTTGTATAATAAACCAAGATCACTACTAGCTAGCAAAATATCATCCACATATAGTATCAGAAATATAAACTTGTTCCCATTAATTTTCATATATATACACTAATCAACAGTGTTTTCTTTAAATTCGAAAGATGTAATGGTATCATTAAACTTTATATACCATTATCTGGAAGCTTGTTTAAGATAATAAATAGATTTCTTTAATTTGCTAACTACGTGTTCTTTTCTTTTCATTGTGAACCCTTCAGGTTGATCCATATAGATATCTTCATCCAGATTCTCATTCAAGAAAGCAGTTTTCACATCCATTTGATGTAACTCTAATCAAAATGTGCTACAAATTTCATAATGATTCTAAGGGAATTCTTTTTAAAAACTGGAGAGAAGGTATCTCTATAATCTATAACTTCCTTTTGAGTAAAACCTTTAGCCACTAATCTACCTTTAAGTAGTTCGATACTATCTTTAGCATCGCGTTTGGTCTTGAAGACCCATTTACAATCGACACTCTTACAATTATTAGGTAATTCGACAAGATCCCAAATATCATTATGGTC